TAAATTTCGTGTATGTCGCAACATTATCAATTATTGCTGTCATGACAGCTCCTCTGGATCAAATTCCAAAATGCACCGTTTCTCCGTCCGATATCCGATCAATATGATTCCAAAGCCCACATGAAGCTTATAAAAGATTTTACTTGTGACCCAAATTTTAGAGAAATTCAACAGTCAGATTAAGATTTGGACACCCAGATGCAAAAGTACACGTTTTTGGTAAAAACCATTTTCAAAATTGTCCAAATCTCATCCTAATGGTCACAAACTTGTGCGAATACTTTGGACACGTCAAATAGGACTAAAAACACCTGATAGAACATTTAAATGGTAGAAAAACCCTTTATATCAAAATTTAACTACTCGGGTGCCATTTTCCAAAATGGACCTTAAACCCCCAAAATGCACAAATCACACAAGAGTGGTCAAAAACTATTCCAAATATCATATACACATATGAATACACACGCTAAATATTTTTACTTAACTCAGAGATCTTTGTGGGGCCCATGCACTCACTCTCTCTATCCAAGGTATATGTTTGCCCATAACATACCATTTACAATGCAATCACTTTGCATTTGCTTGTGGAATCACATATATATCAAAATAAATATTTGCTTGTAGTGGAAACTTGGTTTACTAAATAAATCCATTAAAACCACACACCATAGCCAAGTTTCCTAGCCACAAGTCTACAAGCAGACAAAAATTCATACACAAGCCATACAATCCACACAAACTCACGCACATATACATAATCATATCCTACTGGCACCCTAATCCTAAATATATTACAATAGATTTGCTCAAAAGAAAGGGGTTGCAATTCTTTACAATTCACAAACAACCCCTAGCTCTGCTCTTTTCCCCGTCCTCTACTGGTTCCTTCGCTTGGACCTAGAATATTGAAAAGAAAGGGGTGAGACAACTACAGTCTCAGTAACAAAGAAATCTACATTGATTATTACAAAGTAAGCCATAATCGAATAAACTAATAATAAATTCAACATAGTATATAACTTAGCCATTTAAAATGCATGAATGCATGACGTAGGCCGGTATGGCCTTTCATAACCAACAAAATGCCCCCTGGCACTCTTTAACTCGCAGGTAAACCTTATACCTACTTATACTTCCATAGGTACAAAACATAATCTAAGGCATGATCTAATCCACCGAACCATCTATGCCCTTTCGACGTGAATCCTAAGCAGTCAAAGCTAACTCCCTCCCAGAGCCAGCCCGACTTACTCTCCATGTGAGGGCTACCTTGGCCTAGGTACTTAACCTCACACTTCATATGTCGGATTCCCTCCCCCACTGAGAGGTGTTGAACACTCAATACATTAACCACTTTACTGCATTGAGCCCACAATACGTAAGGCAACACTAAGTACTGGCACTCTGCCAGTGTGCCATAGAATATCAAAAGTCTACACCTTCTCATTGGTGAACTCCCACCGAGATCATGCCTTTTATTCGTGTCTACCTTTCTTGAGTATTGACCACTTCAACACTCTAAGGTAGTATAACATTTATAAATCTCCCTTAAATGGTTCCTTAGCCTATCTACGGTACCTTACTTAGTTACATTTCCTTAAGTGCCACTTCTATTCCTTATGATTACAATACATGCAAACAAATTTCATTTCCATAAAAATATTATTGTTAAACAATTAGAAAATATATTTGCACTATAATCAAAGTAGTACCCCATAACCCCTTATAAAGCACATTTAATCTTTTAAAACATGTAATGCATGATAGCTAGTAATATTTATTCAAAAATAACTAAAATAAAGTAATAAGAAATATAAATTTCTCTGTTACCTCAACCCTTTGGTACCAAAAGGGTTCCTCTTATACAAAATAGGGCTCGGCTTGTTCCTTAACTTCTGAACAAATTCCACCAACAATTCCTATAACATATAAGTGATCCACATCACTTATCATGTTAAATAGCATTAATGAAGACTATAACTCATACCACACAACTTGGGTTTATGAGCCATATTCCATCCCAATGGTCCATATATTAAACCAACCATTCACATAGTATCACTTAACTACCAAAACCATTGATTAGCCATCACTAGGCTAATTTCTAATTTATATAATTTTTAATCAATTAAAAACCTTCACTTAGTGTCACCAACTTTCACCATTAGCCCTTATAATGAAAACCAAACCTTAATTTAAATCTTATTGGGCTCAAATAGCAAAATTATAACTAAATCAATAAGCTTAAACTAATGAGGAGCAAAACCCAATCTCTCAGGGTTTAATTTATGCCCAAAACACCTCTTTTCATCCAATTATCCACTCAAAATATTAGATCACTATATAGAAACTCAAAACATCCTCCCTATGATCCAAAGAAACAAAAGCTTACAAAAATAAAGCCTTTGGAATCAAAATTCACAAATTTCCTCTTTCAAAAATTAAGAAAAACAAAGAGGAAGGGAAGAGAATTGAAGTAGGGAGTTTACCTATCGTGTAGCCGAGCTCGCAACGGCCGTAAAATCTCCTGGATCTGAGCCTAACTCCCTCTCTTTCTCCTTTCTTCTTCCTCTCTCTCTCTCTCACTCGTTTCCTTTCTTTTTCTTTTCAATTTCTACATTCTTTTGCTCTTTAAATTGCTGATCTAATGCCTTGGGAAAAATTACAAGAAATGGCCCAACATTGTTTATTATAGCACAAAAGCTCGGGTCAACTTTGGTAATTTTTTCCATAGTTAAAAATCAAATAAAACCAAACTTTTGCTGAGAAAAATTCAAACTCTAGACCTCTATTAAATTATTCTAAATTTTAATTTAATTATAGATATTTTATTTTATTTTTTTAAAATAAATTTGAATCTTAAAATTTTTAGGATGTTACAGCAGCACAATCAAATTCTAGTAGAGGTTTGTAATGAGATTGAGAAAATCCAAAGGAAGTTTATTTAGGGTTCAACAGATGAAAAGAGGAAGCTTCATGCTGTGAGTTGAGATGTCATTTGTTTATCTAAAGAGATGGGTGGTTATGGTATTAAGGATATAAGAAAGATGAATGCTGCTCTTGTGGCCAAGGTGGGATGGAACATGCTGGTGAAAACTGAGAATTTATGCTCGAAAGTGCTTATTGAAAAATATGGGAGGGATGCTGATTTTTACTAAAAAGGTGTTAGGTTAAAAATTCTAATTTTGCATTTTGGAAATTCTTGGCCAGCTGTTGGCCAAAGATTTTGGAAATGGTGGTGTGGGAATGTAAAGATGGGAGTAAGATTAAATTCTGAAAAGATTTGTGGCTGAATGATAACTCTAATCTGTTTGATTTGTCATTTAGGAAACCTAATGGTAGATTGATTAATTGTAATGTTTAGGATATGGTAAATGAACATGGTGAATGGGAATTCTTATATTTGAAAGATTATCTCGTTGAAGATATTCTTTTACAATTGCAAGCTGTTCCGTGTCCTCAATCTGAACTTGGCATTGATTGCTTCAAATGGAGGGGTTCTTCTAACATTTTCTGTGTGGTTGATATGTACAAATGCATGACTAATGTGACAGGTATGGTTATTAATGATTGCTGGAGGAAAATTTGGAGGTTGGGGGGAACTAGGAGAATTCAAGTATTTCTTTGGCTCGCTAATCATGATAGATTATTGACTTCTTGTAGAAGGTCAAGGGTCTTGGGGGGCTCTTCTATTTGTTGTAAATGTGGCTTGGTTGATGAATCTCTTTTACATGCTATTCATAACTGTGAAATAACTAAGAATGTTTGGCTTTCTCTGAACTCTCCCTTAGTAGATGATAACTTCTTTTGTTTGTCTCGTGGAGATTAGTTCAGGAGGAATTTAGAGGGAAATGGGGAATGGCATATTGTTTTTGCTGTAATTTGTTGGTTTCAATGGTTGGAGGAATAAGATTCTTTCTAAGGAGGATTTTGTCTTTCCTAAAAATCTTGTTTGTAGTATCATGCATTATGTTTGGGAGCTGAATAATTTGAGAAATTGTGGTTTTATTTTGAACCAAACTAGTCTAGAAAAATCTATCTGTTGGGATAAGCCTCTATCTAGTTGGATGAAGCTGAATTTTGATGGTGCGTCCAAGGGTGGGTCAAACTTGGTTGGCTACAATGGATTGCTAAGAGATGATTGTGGTAATTGAATTGGTGGATATGTGAAGAGATTGGGCACTTGCTCTACTATTGATACTAAATTATGGGGTGTTCTGTGGGGTTTGAGGTTAGTAAAGAGAATAGGGGTGAAGAAGTTAATTGTGGAAGGGGACTCTACCTTTATAATCAGTATGTTGAAGAGCGTTTAGGAAGGGAGTGAGGTTTGTAAATTGTTGCTTATGCTAATCCGTATGGAAATCTAGGAGGATTGGCAGATTCAATTTCAACATGTGTTGAGAGAAGGTAATCAATGTGCTGATTGACTTGTTAATTACAGTTTTTCTTTTGATTTTGAGACTGTTTATTTTGTTGAGCCTCCTCATGATTTGACAAATTTACTGTATAGAGACAAATTGGGTACTATGTATCCAAGGAAAGTTGGCTGATTGAATAATACAGGGCTTTTGCCCATTTTTCACCAAAAAAAATATTGTTATTAATTATTATAGTTCATTAATTTTTTTTTGACCAGTATAGTTCATTAAATTTGGATAGAGAAAGTGCAATCCGCTTGTAACGGGAAATTAGTAATTGAAAATTTTTCAACATAATTAAAAATTTTAAAATAAATATTTTAAAACACTTAACAGAATATTTTAATGATATTAAAAATTTGGACTTAAGTGTAATATAATTTTTAAAATATGAAGGAGATCCCCAAAAAATTTTAGTAAAATAGTAGGAATGTTATGATATTTTGCTCTTATTATTATTATTATTATTATTATTATTATTGTCGTCGTTGTTATTACTATTTGAGCCGTTCCGGATTCCAATTCCTATTTGCCTGTTTAATGTAAACGTCCGTTCAGCTTATCAGACGGCCCGACAAATACTAGGCAAAGCCAGCAATTGTGCTGCGAGAACAAGCATCGCATGAACAGCACTGTGTCGACAGTGGCAGATGAAGATTCCGACGTTCGAAGGTACCGTGTTTCCTTCCCCATTTTCCTTGAAAATGTCGACGGAATCTGTTTTCGTTTAATACAAGTATTGAGCTTCAGTTTCAACTTCTCCTTATTATATATATTGTTCATGTTTGACGTCTCCTCTTGTTCATCGTTATTACCGGCGTCTCTCTGTTATATCTTCGACTTCAGCATGCCCATGGGCATCATGGCTGAAATCTCTGTTTGCGTTCCACGGACTGAACCGTTTTTTATTTTTTTTTTGGGACAAAATACAGGCTAAACCGTTTGAATATATCATCTTGATCAAGGAAAAATAGCTGTTTTCTTAGGAAATATACTATAAAAAAAAAATTTACCCTTATTATACTGGAGCAAAATTTACCCAGACACAAGTGAAACTTTCCACTTGCAAAACCCAGTTTTTAATTAGTATTCTATTCTGTAAAAGTCAGTTTTAAGTTATCTAAACAAGCATATATCAAAATGGGTTTGAAGCTTGAGCCTGCTAACTGGTACTCACTGGATAGGAACTAATCATTTCCCACTAAATTGACTTTAATTTTTGAATTTACATAAAAGAAGTCATGGCCTAAGGATCGACTCCATTATTTACATTTGAAAAGGTTGAATTTTTTTTTTGTAGGAATAAAAATTTACGTGAATTGGATCCCCACTCAGCTTCCTCCTTCATTTCTTAACAATCACAAATTCTTTTTCTTTTTCCCATGTTCGGCTCTTTGTTATACTTAAAACAACAACAATAACGAGCCTCATTTATGCCTATAACAAACAAAATAAAAAAAAATGGTAAACTATAAATTCTTAATCCTATAAATAAATAAAAAAAAACGTTCTGTTTATACTATAAAAAATAAAATATCGTGATGTCATCACTATTAAATAATCATTTGACTACTTTCAAAAAAGAAAAAATAATCATTTGATTGATTTGTCATATTTTATATATTTTTCTAAGACATTTCATTTGTTTATGGAAACTATATATTATTTTTTTCTTATACATATCATGATGTTATATGGATATAATTATATATATAATATTAAAGGTTTGTATAAACCCTTCATTTATTCATGAACCTTTGATCTGATAAATATATATTATAAAAAAATATCTATGCATAATATAAAATATATAATAACATTATATAATAATATAATGTATTTATGAATGTGAATAGAATATAAAATGTTATATTATATAACAATATTAATTATATTAAGATAATTTGAATATATGAAATATAATATATAAATAAATCTTATAACTGATATATATATATATATATTATTGAACTTACACATGAGGATGCTGTGGCTTGTGGGATCCTGTTGAAAAATCCTGTATTCCTTATGCTATTTGTCGTATGGATGCAAGATTTCATCATAATTTAAGGTTTTTGGTATTGTAATATACCAATTTCATTTCTTAGATGAGCTATTTCTTGGATTTAGCTTCATGATGCAAAATTCTTTTATGAAAAATAAAAAAAAATGGTGTTTACATTAGCTGAATTGTGAAATTGATAATGCATAAACATTTGGCATATGTCTAGGGATATTGAGTAGTGGCAAACCTGTAGACTTCTGAAAAGAAGTTGTTGGCATCCACTAATATTTTTTCAGTCTTGTTTGGATATGCTTCTGGGATATTACTGATTAGCTTTTGCTAAGTTACATTATGCTAATTTTAGCCTTGATAATTTTTGAAGTTTACCACCCAGCAAATGCTACGCAACCTTTCTACCTTGGTTTGGACTGATTTTAGTATTGTATGCAGAGCATTGATGGACATTAACTCCAAAGAAGAGTCATCAGATATCAGTGAATCTGATATTGATGACTACAAGAAGAAACCATTTGAGCAGCTAAGGGCTGGGAACTATAAAGTTAAAAATTTAAATGGCACTCTCAGATGTCCTTTCTGTGCTGGAAAGAAAAAGCAAGATTACAAATACACAGAGTTACTGCAACATGCCTCTGGGGTGGGTAAGGGTTCTGCTAATAGAACTGCTAAACAGAAGGCTAACCACCTTGCTCTGGCCAAATATTTGGAGACTGATTTATCTGGTGAAGCAGATCAAGTCCAAGGGCCATCCTTACCACAACCTTTTTTCCAGCATCAGCAAGATGACCTTTATGTCTGGCCGTGGACTGGAATAGTGGTCGACATACAGGACAAGAGTTTACATCATTCTCGGTATTGGCTGAAGAAATTGGCTAAATACTGGCCCTTAGATGTTCATATCTTTAAGGAAAATGATGTAACTGCTCAGGCTGTGGTAAAATTTAGTGATGATTGGAGTGGCTTTTTGAATACTAGAGATTTTGACAAATCGTTTGGAACTAAACATTGTGGTAAAACAGATTGGGAGCTGCAAAACATGAAGCCAGACTCAAGAATTCATGGATGGATTGCTCGGGAAGATGATTATCATTGTGAGGGGCCAATAGGGAAATACCTGCGCAAGAAAGGAAGCTTAAAAAGGGTCTCAGACATTGTCCATGAAGCATCTAAAAGCAGACGTAGTGATGTGGCAAAACTTGCTAATGAAATTGATGTGACAAATGAGAACCTCGCTAAAATGCAATACAGGTTCAATGAGAAGACTATGTCACTAAGTAGGATGCTTGAGGAAAAAGACCAGCTACATCATGCTTTTCTTGAAGGTTTGTTTACCTTCTGTTTGCAAAAGATTTTACCTTCATTTATGTACTATAAATGGTTCCGATTGACTATTTTGGTATGCATTTTTATGTTCTTGCATGTGAATCAAATTAATGTTGCAAGATATTGATGCGTAATGCTTCATTTTTTTTTTCCAGAAATAAAACACATGGAGCAGAGGGTAGCAAAGGAGTCTCGGAGGATATCTGATGAAAAAAAACACTTGAACAGAGAATTAGAGGCAAGAAAGCGGAAGCTTGATTTGTGGAGCAGAGATTTAAACAAAAAAAAGGCATTAACTGAGAAAGAGAAGCAGAAGCTTGAAGAAGACAAAAGGATGGTAATGATATACCACGTTGTCTCAGTATTATGTTTTGAACCTAATGTATTTTACCCTTGATCTTACATGCTTATCAATAACCATCGAAATAAACTTGTATGGCTCTTTTTGTTCTTGGTCTGTTACTGGAATCATCTGTTACTATTTTTTCCCATAAACCATTCCCCGAAGCAGAGGTTTATCTCCATTTGTGAACTGGACCTATAGTTTGTTCACTGTGAGAAAATTAGCTTTACATACGAAGTGGTAATGAAAAATAACTTGCATATTCATTTTATATGAAGCATCTTAGCTCTGAAGATCTGATGACAATCTTTCTCCATGTTAGATGTTTAATATCTCAATCTCTGCCGTTGTTGCAACTGTGGTGCTATTTAATCTGAAATTGCTAGAATTTGTGATGTATTTGTATTAGATACTAATAGAATCTCTTTCTCCTTCCAGAAAAATCTGGGGATTGAATCCCTTCAGAAAGGCTTTTATGGAGAAGAAGAAAGCTAATGGGAATGTCTTAATGCTTGCTGAAGAGCACAAGGTTTCCCTAATTTATATTTATGTTGTCTAGAATGTGAAATTACATTGTAGTAGTCTGCAATTTGGAGCTTATAACTCTGTTCCTATACACAATGATAGTCTTCTGCTAATATCAATCTTAACATTTTCAGAGAGAGAAAGAGGAGGCATTGAGGCAGATAATTGAGTTGGAAAAGCAGCTTGATAAGAAGCATCTGCTGGAAATGGAAATAGAAGAGTTGGAAGGGAAATTAAAAGTGAGGGAGCATCTTGGAGATGATGATGCTGTCCAGACGGAGATTAAAGTACTGAATGATAAATTGAATCAAAAGAAAGCTAAATTGGTTGATATGGAAGCACTGAATCAAACTCTTGTTGTCAAGGAGCGTCAAAGCAATGATGAGCTTCAAGAAGTTCGTAAAGAACTAATAGAAGTATGATTTCTTTTATTACATGTTTATTCTTGATCCCTAAATTTGTTTACATAAAAATCAAACTTGACAATAAATATAGGACTTTTTATTACCTTGCAATAAATTGAAAGAAATGCCTGCTAAACATTTGGATTCATGCTACTCGTGGCACTTGTGTGCATTTGGGGGGGGGGGAGTGAAGGGCGGATGCGTGTGTGTGTGTGTGTGTGTGTGTGTGTGTAAAAGGAGTGTCGTGTCAGGAGAAGATTTTGAACCTTAATGTTTTTCTTTTACAATTATGTTTCAGGGGTTACAAACAATGCTTACTAATGCCCGAACTAATATTGGGATTAAAAGAATGGGAGAGCTTGATGTGAAGGTTTTTGTGAATGCTTGCTTGAAAAAGTTCTCTCATGAAGATGCTCAGATAAATGGTGTTACGCTATGCTCCCTGTGGCAAGACAACAACCTGAAGGATTCAAAATGGTATCCTTTTAAGGTGATCCCTACAGATAATGATGAAGCTGAGGTATGCTTAACAAAAACATAATACTTGCTTGCCATTTGCGTGTACTTCAATCATGCTTCACCCTAAATTGTTTTGCATCTATTTAGTGCATGTCTGATTTCATGTTGAAAATCACCAAAACCATGATTTTTGTGGTTTCTAACGTGAAATCACTGGATAGATTGCTTCCCTCCCCGAAAGCTCCAAATTTTCTCTGGAACATGGTTTATTTTTTATTATAAAAAATCTTAAAATTAATTGCAGCCCCACAAAAAAAAAAAAAAGAAAACAAAAAAAGTTCCCCAAAAGTTTATGCAGATTTTCATTTTTGGCTCCCCATGTGTTAATCTCTGGATCCATCCCTGCCTCCAAACATCTTCTTAGTCCTGGATGAATAAAAAGTGTGGTTCAGCGTTTTGCCAATAACACTGATGACTGATCTATTGCTTTCAAAATTACATTGTTGAGATGTTAATGTGTCTGTGTGTCTAAGTGGGTCTTACAATCCTGTGGTCAAAATTTAGATTAACTTTCCAATCTATTTTAGAAATTTGGATCAGTGTGTGTCTATGTGTTTCATCTGGGATCCTTGCATTGATGCAGCTAAGACTTAATGAAGATGATGAAAAGTTGCAAAGTCTCAAGGAGCAATGGGGAGATGATGATGGTATATATATGGAGGTTGTCAGAGCCTTGAAAGAATTAAATGAATACAATCCAAGTGGTAGGTATGTTGTTCCTGAACTATGGAACTTCAAGGAAAATAGGAAGGCTACATTGAAAGAGGTCATCAGTTACATTGTGGGACAGATCAAGCCATTTAAGAAAAATAGGACAGCCTCTAGAAAATAGGTGTACTGTTTTTAACAGCCCCTAGAAAATAGGTACATTGTGGGACAGATCATCCATGTGGTTTTTGCTCCAAGGTTATGTTTCAGTTCAGTTCTTGTTTAGATAGAACGAAGCTTGCTCTGTGGTGTGCATTTACCGTGGATAAATGTTCATAATGTATAAATGTGATTATCTAGATTTCTTATGGATGAATGATGTTTGTTTTTATTGAGCATTTTAAATAATCATTCCATGAGCTTTTCTTAATTATTCTAGATCCTAATGGAGTATGCAAATTAAAAAAAAAAAAAAGCATTAATCTATTATGGAATTTGTATTAGTCTAATCTAGAATTTGAATGTTAACTATGGCTTGGTTTTGTTTCATAGAGGAATCCAGTTTCTGATCAGATTTAGTAACCTAGTGGTAATCTTAACCTTGTTTGGTAGGATTGAACTATTTTTGAGGAAAATGGAAGTTCAAAAAAGAAGAGAAGTTTTATCAAAGCATGACTTCCAAACTAAAAATGTAGTAGATCAAATAAAATCACAATTTTTTTTTTTTGATGAATTTCATTTAAGGATCGTAGTAGCTTTTTATTTGTAAGTAAAATTGATTATTTATTTAGTCATGATGGATGGATTTGATATACATTAGATAATATACAAGTAATATTATAAATTTAACAAGTAACACAAAGGAATTAACATGAAATATTAGAGATTTTATGGGTAAAGTTAATAATTCCTCTAAATCATTCAAGAAGGATATTTTGTTCATTTTGTTTCATCATTTTATTTCATCTTAGTCCTAAAATCCTGCAATTTAATTTTAGAAATTTTTTGGCCTGATTTGTAAATAAATAGCTATGGTAGTCGATAGATGAAATTCTCCTCTTTTTTGGGGATGCATTAGATGTCTGGCATTATAATTTTAAGTAATTGTAAATCGGTCACTCTAAACATAATCTTCCCAAAAAAATTCCCGAAAGTAAAAGGGGCCTAATTATTGAATAAGTAGATAGATCTAAAATTGTGCAGCCAAATAAAACGATTTTGAAGGGTTGGAAAGACAGAGATTCCAATGGAAAGTAAAAGCAATTTTGTTGGAATTTTAAACTTGGACAATTGAAAATATCAGAGGTGAGCTGGGAATACATGGAGATACAATTAGAAAAATGAAAATAACCCACTTGAAAAATCTTAGGTTTCAGACCTGAATTGTAGAAAATACAAAAAGGAGCTGTGAATATATAGATAATCAGTTATAAAATGAAGACAACTCATTTGAAAAATTTCAAGTTTTAAATTGAGATTAAATGTTTGGTATAAAATGACGAAATGACTATTGAAAATATCAAATATAAGTTTGGAATAAAGGAAATTCAGATGAAAAATAAATGTAAAAGTTAAAATTTTTTTAGTTGAGTGACATTGTTCACTCTTGTGATAATTTAAGGAAAAAATTATAATTTTATTATTCTTTATCAATTAAAACAACATTTAAATATTAAACAAATGAAAAGAAAAATATATAAAAATTATCATTGATAAGAATCATGTAAATAAAATTTTATCCTTTAATACAAGAAAAATATGGACCATTGATAACAAAAAAAAAAGATAAAAATAATGCAAAAATAAATATTTAAAATTTTACAATGATAATAGCATTTTTTTTTTTGCTATCAATGTCTCAACTATCCAATTACCTTTTGTTTCTGTAGTTTATTGATAAAAGAAAAAAAAGAAAATTAAGCTATAAAAAGTTGTCAACAGATGGACCAAATACTAGAGTGGAAAAAGGATAAAAGCATAAATCAATATATCTTGACTAAAGTATATTTTTAATTTTTTACCTTTATATAAAGATTCAATTTGATCTTTTAATTTCATAAAGTATCTTTTTAGTCCTTTAACATAACATTGGTAGTTTTAAATGATTATTTTTTTATATCAATTATTATTTTTTAAAAAAATTAAACTTAATATGTTAATATTTGAAAATGTTTTGTCAATATTTAAAAGGTCATACTTTGTTTGAATGAAAGTAATAGTATTAGGGTTAAAAGATTAAAAAAATACTGTAAAAAATTAAGAGATTAAAATAAAATTTTATATAAAATTAAAAGATTTTGTATACACTTTAACCATATACCTTTGCCTTTTCTGCAAATGTCTTCCGGTATGCCTTTGTTTCTTGAATTGAATCGATCCCGTACATGTTGCGCTGAAGGAAAATGTTTTGCAACAAGAATGAATATACCACATCAAGAGGGAAGCGTAGCGAAGATTTTTTTAAAAACAATTAAATAACATTTTAACCCTTATAAAATATAATATAATTTTTATATATTTATTATTTGCTTAAGCGAAACGTACATAAGTTTCTATCTGGCTTTTATTAATTTAACACGACAAAAATATAATGATAAATAAAATTTTTATATATTTTTATTTTTTCACTTTAGATTTTTAAATATTTATTTGGGCTTAATTGAGTGTAATTGGATATTATTTAATTTTATTAGTCAATCTTTAATTTTTAAATTTTAACTATCTAAATCTTTAATTTTAAACTATACATAATATCTTTGATATTTTTATACAATTGCTATTTTATTTTATTTTATTTGTGCGGATTTTCTAAATTCAATTTAGAAGATATTGATGAAGATTATTTTAAATAGAAGAATGTAAGAATAATTGAAGATCAAATCATGTACTTAAAATTTTATTATAATAACCAAGAAGGAAGTTGACATTAATTTTTTTAAATTGAATAAAAAATTTTATTGCTTAAAAAATGGCTTTGTACAATCCCAAAATTTAACTTAAGAATTAATTAAATTAATTGAAAGGTTTAGTTAATTAATTAATTAATGTAATTGAGAATTAATTAGAGTTTGGATGGTCATTTGGGTGCATTCGACCATATATGATGTAACATTTCAAGTTTTAATCCTAAAGGTAATTACTAATTTAAGGATAAACTAATGAATTAATTAAATTAATCATATTTTTGAGCTGTAAATTGACATTTTGGGCCATTAAACAATGGTATAAGCACGATTGGATGGAAATAGAGGTATTTAGGGTTAAGTGGAAGAACTAAAGTGAGATTTTGCTCACTATGGCATGCGTCATGTCGCAGCATGGCACAGTGCACTGTGGCTTATGGTACCAAATTTTAGCTTTAAAGATAAAGGCTAGCTCATGATTTTTTAGTGGTGAAAGGGGAAGAATGACAAAACAAGGGTGAGGAAGAGCGGCTTTGCTAGGGAAAGGATTTACAGGCACTTGGAAGTTGTTTCTGACCTATCATCTTTCTGGTAAGCCTTATACCTCTTCACTATCCCTATTTAGTTCGTTGTCTCTTGATTTGAGATATGGGGAAATTGAATTGTGATGTTATGAAGGGTTATTTTTTGGCCCAATAACTATAACATGGTTGTTCAAAGCTAAATTAAGATTTACAACCAGTTTGGTAGTTGTTAATTATGTTTTGGGGCTTTGGCTTCGTTTTAGCCTCAATTG